GCGGAGTTGCTGAGCATGATGCCAACCTCAAGAAAGTGCTGGAACGAGTGAGAGAAGTCAACCTGAAGCTGAATCCAGCCAAGTGCAAGTTTCGCCTGGATCATGTAGGATATGTAGGTCACATTTTCACAAGTGAAGGCCTAAAGGCAGACCCTTCTAAGACAGATGCAATCACTAACATGCCAGTCCCCACAGACGTTGTCTCACTACAGCGTTTCCTCGGTATGGTTAACTACCTCGGCAAGTTCATCCCGAACTTCAGCGACATCGCAGCACCACTGAGAAAACTCATCCACAAGGACACTGCATGGTGTTGGTTCCAGCAGCATCAGGATGCATTTGACCTTCTTAGATCATGCTTATCAAGTCCACCTGTTCTGTCATACTATGATGTCAAAAGACCAGTCACGCTCACCTGTGATGCGTCATGCTACGGACTTGGAGCAGCGTGCATGCAAGATGGCAGGCCAGTAGCGTTTGCATCACGCACCCTCACTGACACAGAGACGAGGTATGCACAAATTGAAAAAGAACTGCTAGCTGTCGTGTTTGCCTGTACACAATTCAAAGACTATATGTATGGAAAGCCTGTAGTGGTGGAGACTGACCACCAACCTTTAGTGACTATCTTAAAGAAGCCCATCCACACAGCCCCTGCCCGTCTGCAGAGAATGTTGCTCCGGCTGCAGAGCTACGACATCAGTTTGGTGTACAAAAAGGGCAAGTATATGTATGTAGCAGACACTCTTTCACGTGCCCCAACCGCACAAACATCTCAAAGCCCTGCTGAAAATGATGCTTATGAAGTTATGTCTGTGAGCTACATCTCCACAGCCCGCCTGGAAGAACTCAGAAAGCACACAGCCGAGGACGAAGATCTGCAAGCCCTCAGTGCAGTCATTAATAGAGGATGGCCCATCCGACAGAATCAGCTCCAACCTGCTGTCCGTCTCTTCTTTCCCTACAGAGATTAAATGACCGTAGAAGAGGGAATTGTCATGAAAGGCCACAAAACTGTCATTCCTCAGTCCCTGCACAGAGAGTACATCAAAATAGTGCACAGAGGACACCCCGGCATTGAAGCAACCAAACGCAGAGCAAGAAGCATCATCTTTTGGCCAGAAATGTCTAGAGACATCACTGAGGAGTTGCTTTCATGTGCAGTGTGCAACAGCACCAGATCCCATCAGCAAAAGGAGCCCCTCCAGCTTCATCCTGTGCCAGATCTCCCATGGTCCACAGTGGCAACAGACATCTTCGAGTGGCATGGAAAACGGTATCATGTGCTGGTTGACTCATACTCTGGCTGGTTTGAGATCGACCTTCTCCGGGATGTGACCTCATCAACTGTGATAACTAAATTGAAGAGACATTTCTCTGTTTTCGGCACACCACACACACTCATCTCTGATAATGCTGGACAGTACGCCAGTCAGCATTTCAAGGACTTTGCAAAACAGTGGGACTTTGTTCACATCACCAGCAGTCCTGAATACCCACAGTCAAACGGACTAGCAGAGAGAGCAGTTCGCAGTGCAAAACAGTTGATGGAACGTTCACACAGAGATGGCACAGATGTGCCATCTGCCTCCACACATCAAACAGTCTGACTCCATCACGACATTCAAATCCCACCTCAAAACCCACCTGTTTAAACTGGCCTACTCACTCTAAAACACATTCAACCTGCTATCACAGATCCTCCTCTCACTCCGTCACTCCACTCTTATCTTCCCTGTTTTATGCTTTTATGCTGCTGTATTGCCTTGTCGGTTCGATTAAATTGTGTTCCGTTTTTGTTTTAGCTGTTTTAACTTTTAAATGCACTGTAAGGCGACCTTGGGTGCAGGGGCGGATCTAGACAAATATTCATGGGGTGGCAGGAGATTTTGAGGGGTGGCATCCCCTGGCAGAAGTATATGCTGATTTAAATCGCAGTGTAACGGTACACGTACTGACATTATTCGGTACGGGCCCTTCGGTTCGGTACACGTGTGAACCGAAGGGTACCGAACGAATATAACGTTAAATGTAAAAAATTGAGAACATGAACAACTTTCTGGAAGTAATCTTAGGTATATATCATAGAGCGACCAAGTCATTTCATTGGACGAGAGGCATACTATGAGAGCTGGTCACAGGGATGCGTTCAAATGTAGTCAGTAATTTGAGGAACTATCGAAATGGTGAACGCAGATAAAGTTGAGCTCAAAAATCCTCCAGCATCATTGAAGTCTCCGGTTTGGGAACATTTTGGTTTCGCAGTTACGAACAAGGATGACGGACAAAGACAGCTGGACCGAACCAAAGCTGTTTGTCGGCATTGTTCAACTAACATTGGTTACGCGGCTGGCAATACATCAAACTTGCACACTCATTTGAAAAGGCATCACCCGAACGTGAATATCACCGGTACCAAAAGAAAAAAGACTGAAGTGCAAACCCAACTCCCGCTAGCATGTAAGCCTCCACCACTCGCAGAGAGTTCAGACCGAGCCAACGCTATTACAAACACCAAATATCCTTATGTTGCCATGTTAGCAAAGCGCTAACTGGCTGTGTCTGCTACCTCTGTCCCTAGAGAGGGTGTTCTCCACAGCAGGAGACATTGTTGGTGCCAGCAGATCTGCCCTTTCAGCAGCAATGTGGACAAGTTCATCTTTCTTTAAACAACATGAAAATACAATGAAAAGCAAGTCCTAATGTCAACCTGGCTGCTTAGGTACAGTACAGTTCAAATACAGATCATTTCAGTTCATCGACATGCTGCACCTTAATGTTTATTTTATTATATTTTGTATTTATTTGAGTGAATATTCACAGTTTAATAATAATTTAAAAAAAAAATAAAATGTTTAATGTTGTGAGAATTTGTTCTGCTGTACCGAAAACGTGACCTAAAAACCGAGGTACGAACCGAACCGAAATGTTTGTGAACCGTTACACCCCTACAATCAATGTTAACTTGGAAAGCCACAATATTAATATTTTAACTCAATGACATAGGTGATATTATTGTGGCACATCAGTAAAGCCTTACATATGTAAGGTGGCAGACGTAATTTAATGAATTTTAACTGAACAATAACTGAATGAGTTTGTTTCAATCTTAGACCAGCAGGGGAACCAAATCTATGCACTGCTGCAATAAGTACATTAATTAACTGTCTCATTGATGTTTGTCTGAATGAATATGATACTATTAACAATCATATTATTCCTATCAGCTGTCAATCACTGTTATGATTCACATATTCATTTATTATTGAATAAACTATATTTTTTGGAGGAGTTAATGATGAATGTTCATCAAGATGCTTGCTCACCCTCCTTCAAATTTGAAAAACAAGTAATTATATCATTATTGATATACAGTTACAACCTTGACTTTACATCAGAAAGAACAAACATTAAAGAAGTGACTAACTGCATCAGTTAGGATTAAAAAACCTGTATTCAGCTAAAACATCGCTGCAGTTATTATCCAGTGGAAGGTCCTTACCTAATGGCCTAGTTAAATCAAAGTGGTTACTTTCTGTTGGCTGGGCAGTGTAGTTTTACACACCGTCTGATTTTACTTCCTCAGGACTTAAAACTGTTTTTTGGGGGCAGACCCCCACAAAGAAAAAAATATATACACGCATACAAGGTCATCATCTTAACAGTTTGTTATGCTCATCGAGTCATCCGTGAGCAGAGCATCAAGTTGACATGCCTATTACAGCTGAATGCGGCGATTACCATTTTGTTCAGCAAAACGCCTCACAAACGTATTAAGATCCAAAGCTTTAGTGCGTTTTGATTCAATGCTGAGTACAGCCAAACTTGACATTCTCTTCTCTGTAATTGTAGATCGCAACTACCTCATTCCTTCCATCTACTTGGGTCCGAAATGCTTCTCGTTTTGCGCCGTCCACCGTTCAACTGAATTCGCCATCAATCATATTTCCAGTCTCGCGCCAGGGCCGGGGGAGGGGTTACAAGACTCGCGTCTTGTGCTGCATTCACTTGCACTCGGACATTAGAGATTTTCTCTCATAAATGTCCGATGAGCCACAACTTTTCTTTCAAAACAAAGATGCCAACTGGGGTGGCAGCTGGGGTGGCAAGGCTATTGTTTAGGGTGGCAGTTGCCACCCCATGCCATCCCGGTAGATCCGCCCCTGCTTGGGTGTCCTGAAAGGCGCCTCGAAATAAAACGTATTATTATGATTATGTCTTCCTCAACCTGGTAAATCTCAGAAACATTCCCCGTGATCTGACGTTAGGCTCTCCTGCTGAACGCCTGATGTTGCGACAAACACGTGCAGCCATCCCTGTGAGCACCAAACTGTTACAGCCAAACCCAAAAGATGCACAACTAATCAGAACACAACTCCTCAACAAGCGCCACTATGACATCTCAAGTTCTCCTCTGAAACCCCTGGCAGAGGGACAAGTGATCAGGATGCAGACCCCAAAAGGATACGATCGGCTTGGCGTTGTCAAGGAAGTGAGCGAGACAGTTATTACAGCAAGGGCGTGACCGCCGGTCAGTGATTCTGACCGGGATGTCGCTCGGCATTAAAGTGGGAGCTGAAATACGCACAGGTTGGGGTATAGTTGTAGGGGACCCACCAAGCCACAAGGGGGAGCTAGTGTGGTTTGTAGGGGAAACAGTGGCTTGAGATGACACTGCCGGAAAGAGGGGTGTGTGAACGTGGAGCGCGAAAAGTCAGGGAGACGTCTGAACAGCGTGCTGCATGTTAGCCGCTAGCATGCGGTACGTATATCTATCTTTGTGAGGACCACAAATGTCAGACTTCAAGAGCGAGGAAATTATGGAAAGTGAAGACAATCTGTCTACTCAATTCTGCAAATATCTGTGTTACAGAAATAAAGGAACATTACGCTTAACATTAGATGAAAATCAATAACACTCTGTTACGAATACGAAGCTTCAGGGGGGAAGACAGTGAGCATGGAACCAACACTGGAAACATGGAGAAACGGATACAACCTTTAAAATGTACAATAGAACAAGTTTAATATTGTTTGTTCAATCAAAAAATACCACAAGGCTACAAATATTATTCAAATGCTGAATAAACATCTAAATATGTTACCATTTTAGATTCACCATTTACAACAAAAAAATACAGAAAATAGAAGGTCATTTGGAGAGCACAGAACATCCTGATGGCCAAATGCTTTACTTTGCTGTGTTAACAAAAGTAATGTGTCTATCCGACTCTTGATCCGATTCCAAATTCTAATGGGTTCTCCTTTGGCCCAAGCTTAACCCTTTTACCATTTGTAATGAAATTAGTCCCATTTGTGTTTCTCTGCTGACAAACAAACCAGTCTGAAAACATAACGTCCCTGGCAGAGGGGTGAGAGATGGCATATTTTCGTAAGCAAACTGGAAGTTAGCATCACAAGGGTTCCCTCAACAAAAAGTCAAAGGCATTCTTCCAATGGCTTTTGGAATATTGAAGAAAATATTCTCTGTGGCAAACTCCATTAATGATTATTGAAGACAAAGGCTAACTCTAGGCTATAACGGAACTACAGCAGAGTCACATGACTCCAGGTCACCACCGCTAAACTAAAGGCGACAGATTGAAGAAGATTCAACTTATTGTCATTACGTAGTACAGGTACTATGTAACGAAACGGTTTCTCTGCATTTGACCCATCCTAGAGCAGTGGGCTGCCATTATGTACGGCGCCCGGGGAGCAGTGTAGGGAACGGTGCCTTGCTCAGGGACACCTCGGTAGCACTTGGTCTTTCCGGGACTTGAACTGTTGACCTTCCAGTTGCCAAGCCAAGTCCCTATGGACTCCGCCAACACCGCAATGTTTGGCATGATGACATTTAGCAGTCTCATTCAGACACTTGTTAGCAACAGCCGTTTTTAAGGCACATTAATGCTTCAGACATTTATCAGTGAGGTGTTTACTGACGTGTTTTTGTTCCTAGAACAAAATGTAAAAACATCTCTTCAGCTTGTGTTAACCACAGATCTTATTTCAGCATCTAACCAAAAGCCGAGGGAACAGGAAGTGTTCGGGGTTTAGGACTTATCCCTGGACAAAAAGTTTGATATAAAATTGAGTTTGCATTAAAAACAGTAATGCTAAGTGTCAGTCATGCTTTTAATGCCAGTTGACTGTCTCTTTCCCCCCCACCATCCCACCTCCATCTTTCTCTTCTGTGTTGCAATAGAAGACAGTGGGGTCGGGGTCAAAAGAGCCCCATAATTGGTGGAAAGGTAAGAGGGTGGACGGCTCTCTTTGATTAGAGTCTGTATTTGTTTCGACCTGAGAGTTTGAAGCGGCGATGTTTCTGTATGTCACCACGGCGCCTGGATCAAGTACGCTGCCGTTGCTAGGAGTGATGCTGTTGGTTACAGAGTTGGGGACAGTGTCTGTATTGCTGCTTCCAGAGGAGGAAAAGGTCAGCGCTGCAGCCTGGGGGGGGAGCAGATTACCGCCCAGGGTGGAGATGAGGTTTGTGGGGCGGCTGAGAGCCAGACGCTGGGTGAAGAGCTGTTGCTGCAGCCGCCGGTCGCTCCAATCCTCCTGAGGCTGCCGGTGGATCTTCATGTGAGCGTTACGGGACTTTATTTTGTAGAACATTCTTGGGCGGAGAGAGAGGAAAAACGGGTTGGAAAAGAAGAAATCAAGAAAATATAAACCATGTGTTTGCATGAGAATGTTTATCCATTATAACTGGTTCTACTTACTTGCCACACAGCTTGCATGGGAAGAAGCTGGTCAGTGGGGGGGCAGGAACCGCCTGCTCTGGTCCAAACTGTGCTACCATTGGTGGACGGACGGGGGTTATCTATGAACACAGGACCCATTTTAAGCAACTGTGCTATAATTGACTGGCTGGGCTGCATTAGACACCACAAACAACATTATTTGATTTAACTGTTTGCACAAGAATCCAAATACTTTCTGTTGGGGAAATATTTTCCAAGGCCCATAACTTTGACCCAGTTTATCAGTTCATGCTGTCCTGACTGAGCACACACACACCTGTAACCTTGGCTGCTGTGCTCTCAGTGTATTGCCTCCCTGTTCCTGCCTCTTGGCGTCAGCTGATAGAGGTGTTATGATTCTATCTTGTTATGCACAATGTTGATTATTCTCTCTGAACTAGCTAGATACATGGGTCTGGGGTAGAGTTCTTCAGAATTGACGTGGCAACTCTAGCGTGAAGTCAGAACCTCTGTTTCTTTGACTTGTCTTGTGAATTCTCCGGCCGAAGCTCCAAATAAACCGTCAGTGTTTGCCATCAAAGCTCCAACTCTCCCCGTGTCTCCTTCTGAGTCGGTGACTCCTCCTGCATTGCTACACAGAAGTTTCCCCCACACTTTCCTATGCTACTCAACCTGCTCAACACTATTTTTTTATATTCTATGAGTCCTATTGGTCAATGCAGGACAGTGGAGCCCACAGGGTGTCAAGGGAATTTCGATGGTTACAATATCTAATTTTCACCAGATTATTTAAAAAATAATTCACAATGTTATTGTGATATCTATAGATCTGTAGACCATTGAATTACACTCGAATTTCAGTGTTGGGATGTGGGGAGGGACTGTGGAATCATAACGGCACTTGCCGTTGCACAAAAGGTTACAATAATGACAGGGGAAAGGGCAACAAAAATCCTTAAAAAAAGGCCTTAAATCTACTAACTCAATATAATCATATGTGTAAATAACAAAGTTATTGTCAACAACGATTTGACCTAGGATAACAAAACAATAAGGAGATAGTGAGAACTAAAGCAAAAGGCAGCTATGAAAACACAAACCAAAAGGGTCAATTTGAAAAGAGGCAAACATATTTGAACTACATTCAGAATTCCTTTTTGTGTTTCTTACACTTTTCTGCTGCTCCATCACTGCTTCTCGGATCTCCTCCTCTCTCTGCTTCTTCTGCTTGTCCTGGAGCTTCTTGCTCAGGTAGTACAATTCAACACACTGGCTCAGGGTTTTAGTCCTCACCTGCAACACAAACACACCATCAACTGATCCTCCTTTTGTTGAGTATTTCCTGACCATATGGATCACTGTGTGTTGTTTACCAGAACTAGCCTTTTTAAATGATGTGTGTACTAGGTATGCACAGAGTTACCCTTTTAGGGTACGACACATCAGAAAAGGAAAACATTGAGAAGGTAACCATAAAAGAATGCAGCATAAGCACATGCAAAACAACTGTACCATTTTCCTTATGAGTGAAAAATCGTTCCCATAAGTCCGCAGAGTTGCACCGAAGAGACTCTTTTCGCTGTCTGTCCAACAATCACTACCTGCAGACAGAAAAGACGGGTGGGAGCAGTTTTTTTAGATACTTTAGTTCAGTAAAAGTACAACAATACAGAGTAAAATGATTAAACACTACAATTAATAAGTCCTGCATTCAAAACCACATATTATCAGCAAATACATTAAGGTAAAGTAAAAGCGTCTTTTTGCAGGAAGATTTTACCTGTTACTATTATATATGTTTTTTTTACTATTACCTGTTGCATTTTAAAACTGTTGGTATGAAGGTTGCGCTAATTCTAACTATTATATAGGCTGTTGTAAGTTTAATCTGCAGCAATGCATTATATTAAAAAAAATCAATTTTCCGGAATTTAACAGAGGACAGTACAGAACTTAAGTAAGTATTATTACATTCTACTACTTGTTGGACTTCATTCTGTGAGCTTTAGAGAGACACACAGCCTGGAGACATTCAGGGAGTTGAAAGCTGGACCGGGGGAGGGTCCAGAGACGTACCAGGGAGTTCAGACATCCTAAATGTTGTCAGGCTGTTGCCAGTGGGCCAAAAACTGTTAGCGGTACCCTGTCTACAGAAACACACCAACCTGAGGTAACACTAGTGTGCAGAACAATGTCTACTCTGTGCTTTAAAGGGTGCCTGGTGCATTTCAATGCGTGGAACAAAGAGGGAGAGGGATAGAGTTTGTGAAAGTGGATGGATTTGGTTTCTACAAAGGCGACTATTGTACATACAGTGGGAATTGTTACCCATGTTCTGACTCACATTCTGACTTGCAGACAACTATTTGCTGTTATGAAACACTAATCACATTTGAGTTATTTTTATTTCTCCACCTATTTCTGTCCTGCAGTTGTGGTTGAATATGTAAAGTGGAAGGAGTTAACTCAGGTTAAATAAAATATATATATTTGTCAGCGCCAAAGAGTCTGATCATAATTGAGCACTATGGTTTTGGACATAAATCCTTACTTATATTGTACAGAAGTTAGTTTGTAACTGTACTCATTTCCCATGTATTATAAATAAAGTCGTTTTAAAAAACATTGATATCCTTATGTAAGCTTAGTGGGATTCTCTTTGCCCTCTTATCCCAACTCTTATTGGTGTAAGACCTAGGATGTATTTCTTTGTCTTATTCAACTGCAGCCTTAGGGTGATGCAAAGGTCAAAGGTTACCAGAGTAGTGGTAGTCTCCTGCAGGCGAGGGCTGTGAGAACAGCAGCATCTCCAGAGCAGCCTGAAGGAGAGAGGGATGGAGGAGAACAGAAGCATGAGGCATGCAATGGCTCTGAAGAGAGTTAACTGGACATCAATGAGTTAGTGAGAAAGAAAATAGTAAGAAATGACAATAAGTAGATGAGTAAAGATGCATGGAAGTACGACACAAAGGATGGAGGCATGATTAAAATGATGGGAATAATTAGTGAAGAATTAAGAAAGAAAGACAGTATTTATATTTCCTCAGTGCTTACCATTATGTTCCCCTGACAGAAGTGCAGACAGTGCAGGGCCAGCTCTGTGTTACTGCCCCCTCCTGGCACACAGCTGGAACTGCACATGGACAACAGCTTCTCCACTGTGCATGCACACACACAGAGCAAAACAAAAAACGTTTTCAGCATCGAGTATAGCAGAAAATGGACTCATTTAAAAACATTGATTGAGGATATGATTATCTTAGCTTTGACCATTGAATAAATGAATGAGAATTGATTGGCATTTCCTGCTCAAAGCTGGTTATTACATGTTTGGGTTGTTAAGCTGTATTTCAGTTTGCTACTTACCTTGGTCTTGTACATTTGTATTCTCCTCCAGCATATCCCATGGTTTCCAGAGCAACTGTTCCCTAGGCGATTCCTCTTCTGGACACAACACCCTTGACCCTTCCCCATCCACAAAGCATATAGGAAGCTCTGCCTGGAAATCATGACCCACATTGACATACCTGGAGGGAGAAAAAGAAAATCTAAACATTAATAAACTAAATCTACAAAAACATACAAATTAAATACAATAAATGTTTTACTTACAGTGACACACTTTCATCTCCCTCATCTGGACATGCTGTTTCCTCCTCTCTGTGATTGAGAGATGAGATGGAGGAGTAGAGACCCGTTCCTCTACGCACTGGATTGAGGAGCGGTTGAGGAGTGTACCGGCCTCTACTCTGACCTCTGCTGAAGTGAAGGACGCTGGGAAATGGAGTACCAGTGTGGATTGGAGAGACTTGTTGCTGTAAGAACAAAAGGGAAAGTCATGTCAGAGTTATCCTTGTTCTCTTTTGATTGATGCATGGTCAAAACAAAAGCCAGAAAGAAAACTTAAGCAACTGAAGTTCTAAAAGCTGAAGAATTAAGACGACCTACATTTTTTTTGGATCAAGTCCCGAAAAATTGATTATCGACCACATTTCCATTTAATTTATGCTCATCAAATGTTCAAAGACCAACATTTATGACAGTATTACCTGGCTTAGACATTATCACAGTGTTACCATTACACCTGAAAATGGGTGAATAAAAAGCCACCATGTTCCCCCACAACTTGGCAACCCTAAAATGTTGACTTAAGCTGAACGTCAATGCATGAACACAAACCTGCTATTGCTCTTGTTAAGTCCCAAAGACTTGTTGCACTTGTTTTGCATCAATCTTGATACAGGGTACTTATGTTATAGTTTGGATTCCTAAAGCTTTTAGTCTACTATCCCATCATTCAAGGCTGGTTTTCACTATAAGTAATGTGGTTTTTTTGGACGGACACAATCATTTAATTTTTTTTACTATGTTCAATCTGAATTTACTTTAAAATAAAAAAAATCTATATTGATTCTCACTCTTCTACATCCAACTCACAGGTTTATCATTGCTTTGAGAAAAAAGATTATTAATTGTCCCCTTTTAGAAGTGTAGTTATGGTCATTTGTTCTGGGAATGTCATTTTCGAGCCTGAGACCTGGAAAACAGGTTAAGAGGAAATAAAGAAACGTATTCTCCAGAAATGTCTGTTTCTTTGAATTTGCTCGGCGTACTGTACCTGTAGCTGTGCGTGTTTAAGATTGGCTTCTTCTCGCTTCACTTTCTGGGTCACAATGTAAGGGGCTTTCTTTTCTTCTGCCTCATAACGTTGGTCTGTGAGGTGAGGTGGAAGAGAGGGAAGGTGGAAGGCGGAATAGAGGGCTGGAGCGCTGAATGGATGAATGGATGAAGGATGGGAGGTGGAGGAGAGGAACGGTGATTCTGGAGACTGAATGTGGGAGGCTGGAAAAATGAGAGGGGAGGAGGACAAGAAGAGTGGATGTCAATGCTGCATGATAAACTGCTGGATCATTTTGGGTGTGGCAGAATACATCACTGTTTTCTGTGCAGACTTTTAGAAACTAACAGAATCTGCTTCGAATCAATTCTTGTAAAAAAATACACATTCAAAAGCACGCATTCAGTGTTATGGGCTTAAAGGTGATTATCGAATTAACATGAAATGAAAATAAGAAAATGTCTGTTAATAAGAAAAGTGAAAACGTAATTTGCATACGAGAAATGTCACAAGCTCACCTACGAAAACCCACATGTCCCGTAAACATACATGTGGGTTTTACCTGTGTTTTTTGGTAAGTGAGGGTAATAAAGTTCATTTAAATCAATTCATGTTTTAGTATGTTTTCTATTTCACTTATGACCAGGCTTGGGGGGTAACCGATTAAACGGGATTACAAATTAGGATACAAAATAAAGTTTACTGTATTCCTTTTTTCAAACAACATATCTGGGTTTCTCTTTTTTAAGGTCATATTATTGTGTTGTCTTACAGAATACACTTACACAAGAAAAAATATCTTCAGTTTTTGCATATTTGATATTTAGGTAATGAGGTTGCGTTACTTAATTATGTGATACTTTAATTAGGTCACTGCTTGCTTTTTTTAACAGGTATTTAATATTGTAACGGGATACATTTTTCCCTCTCAACCCTTGGTATCACAGGCTCTGGATGAACCCAATGTTATCCCTACTATCATACTTTTATTTACAAAAATGTGCACACAATGTCCTACCTAGGATGTTGCCATAGTCACTGCCATGAGAAGGTCTCAGGTTGCCCTCGGTGATGCCGGGGTCGCCTGACGTATGTGTAAAAGTGTGTGACATCACTGGAAACTTCCATATCATCCCAGAGGAGTGGATAGAGGGGAAAGACTGAAGGTGCGAAGGGAAAAACTGTAGTGAATCCCCCCCCTGAGACACCGAATGTCCGGACACACCTAACCCACCGGGGGAGTCCATTTTGGAGGGTGAGTGGGAAGGAGGAGGCAGAGGCGTGGGAGGGGGACTGAGAACTGAAGACATGATGTGAGATGATGTGGGAGGAGAGGGGAAGGAGGGGTGGGCGGGTGAGGAAGAGGTGCAGGGCGGCAGGTAGGAGTCAAAAGCACAGCTGTGCCTCGGCTTATATCCGCGGCTTTCTCCTCTCCCTACCCCATATTCCCAAAAGGAATCTCCACAGGGGATCATGGGAAATATTCTCTTGCGCTGGGAGAGGAAGGCCTCGGAGAAAGAGTCCAGTTTCTGAGTGTACTGCGTCAGGCATCCTGAGTTCAAAGTGTGTTGGTCTGCTGCTCCGCTCCACCTGCCTTCCCCGGGCTGACTCGACGGAGAGACACTCACCCAGGGTCCCTCACCCTCTGCCCCCTGAAGCTGATCCTCCCCTGAGCCACAACTGGACCCATAATCCTCCTCTCTTCCTAGATAATGATCACCAACTCTTGAACAGTCAACGCTGCTGTCACTGAAGCTCCCCGCTGCAGTTCTGTTGTAGGAAGTAGTTTGTTTTGTGAAGTGGCTAACGTTAGCTTCTCTGTTGTAAACTGCTTCGCCTTTAGCTTCACATCTAACATGATTATAACAGTTTGCTCTGAGTTTACGTCCCGCTCCTTCCTCGCTGGTGTAAAAAACATCATTACTGTAACAATCCGCTGTTTGATACAAATTATCTGCAGCGTGTTCACAACTCTCCCTGTTCTCCCAAACTTCCTCTTTTTTCACGTCATACCAAGTGTCCGAAAAATGTCCGCCTAACCCGCTTTCTCCGCCTCCCAAGTTAGCATCTCCATCCAAGCAGCTACTACTTGTGTTGAGGAAGCCTCTGTCTCCACCACTGCTCCCTCTCCTTCCCCCTGAGGAGGTGTTTGAAGCCAGTAAAATATTAGAGGATTCTTCCCCTCCCCTTCCATACTGCGCCAGAGGGTCCAGGGCAGGCTGAGAGGACGGGTATCCCACTTCGGGGCTTTGATGGCCGGGCAGCGTGAGGTGAAAGGATGGGTGGTGGCGATGCTGGTTGAGGTCGGGGAAGGACTGGATGGATGAAGAGTCGTCCATGATGGATCACTGCATGTAGCTAGAGTGCCTACAGGAAACGGACAGAAGATTGAGCACATTTAAAACAGAATTAAGAATAGTGTGACTCGTCGGCATGACATTTCAATATTTTAGGATTCAGTGCTTTCACATTCAATAGCTCACATTTAAGACGCTTCCTAGATACTGCGACAAACACCAGGATTAACAAATTGTAGAAAACTACTGTAAACGCTATTAGTTAGCATTTACGGCAGATAACTCGCAACTGCACTTTTCCTGTACAACCTTCATTGTATGCTTGCTTCCTAAATTGGCAATTAAAACTTTGAGAACCTCTGATACAAAAATACATTTTTTCACAACAATTAGAGCGAATACTGCAAATTCTGTAATCCATCAAATTCCAACCTAATTAGAAGTTTTCACTCGTCTCGTGTCCTGTGTCATGACGTTACCAGGCAATGCAGGCAGAAGGTTTAAAGTAATGGCGCCTTTAAAAAAAGACAAGCCGTTTTTACGTATTCCAGCAGAGCATGTGCGCTTACCTCGATTTATGCCGTTTGATTTAGTTTGTCAGAATAAATAGATTAAAAGACAAGTGACAGCGTATCACTCTGACTGCATCATAGAAGAAAAACTCGCCAAAAAGATAAAGAGAAAGCTTTTCTGTTAGCAATGCTACGCTGAACAAGGCCTTTTGAAAACCATTTTATTTCCTGTTAATACTTTTATTGCCTTGTTAAAAGGTAACGGTAAGTACCGAATCCTCTTGAAGTTTTGTTGGTTTTTCTTTCTCTCTTTCTTGAAACCACATTCAGATCTAAATAGGACAGTGAGTGAGTGAGTCAGAAAGAGAAAGAGCGAAGGCAGATGAGATGAAGAGACAAAAACACTGTATAGGATTTCAGGCTTGTTTGTTCTTTACCAGTCTTTGCCGCTTAATTTCCTTTTCACATAAGTTCCTCCACTGTTGTTCATGTTCTCGGCTCCCGGTTGCTCTTCTGATTGTCGTCATGGTACTCTGAACTTACTTTGCTTCGTCTCGAGAGTCTGTGTGATTATTTCCCCCTTCAAATTTTCTTCCTCTCACATAGTCCTTCCTATCTCTCTCTCTCTCTCTCTCACACACGCACATAGTCTATCACAGAAGCAAAATGTAACACACACACATTTACAAATAGTTTCTCTCTGAAACACACACACACACACACTTGCAGGTGTCAAAGGGGACTAGCAAGTAGTGATGTTGCCTATCTGCCTATTCGTCGTCGTCGTGGTAACCACATCCTGAGGAAACAAACGCTGACGGATCTCCCTCCTCTCAGCTATCTTTATCTTTCTGCCCCCCTCCTCCATCTCTCTGTCTCTCTTTCCGTCTCTTTGCCCCGTCCTTATCTCTCTCTCCGTCTCTTATTCTCTCTTTCATTCTCACCATGCCACCTATTTGTTTTCTCTCTAAAGTCTTTAACCTGCTTTTTATCTGTCGTCTCATCTCAGTCTTTGTGCTTTGTGGTATCGTCTATGTTCTTTTTTAGTGTCCCACTTGTGGCGCAAATGTAGTTGAATTATTTAAATAAAGAAAAAGAGATTTACCGATGTTGAGGTACTAAAACACTTGTACAAAATGCATTTCATCCTAAAAACGTTACAATCAGCAGTTAAAGTAAATGTACGTTTGATACCTTTCACATCATATATGATATACATGTATCATAGTGGCTGTATGTATAAAGTACTACTTTGGTTGACCTTTGTAGAGTTTCGTGACTGCATAATCTGTCATAAAGGTGTGTGTATGTGCGGAAAATCCATGTCCGTCTTTCAGTCCTCTACATGAGTGCTGAATGTTCGGCTACATATAGTGTGTGTGTGTGTGTGTGTGTGTGTGTGTGTGTGTGTGTGTGTGTGTGTGTGTGTGTGTGTGTGTGTGTGTGTGTGTGTGTGTGTGTGTGTGTGTGTGTGTGTGTGTGTGTGAGTGTGTGTGTGCAGAAGTGTTAGCGTGGATGTTTACCAGATCAAGATTCTCCAGCTGAGTCAGCTGACAGGAAGTGAGAGAGAATGAAGCAGGAAGGAAGACGGCGGCAAACGATGAGGTTCAGGGAACCCTCTAAACACCCTGCAGCCCCACCTTCTCACCCTCCCACTCACACACACGCACTCACACACACCTTTAATATGCCCATAAGCCGTTTTCTACCTTTGTTGTCATATATGGTTTTAAAACACCTACGCAAGCACAAGGAACCTCAAACACGAGCAACTTCAATAACACCCTCAACACTACACTCACACACACATTCGCACTCACACACATGTCTGTTGAATACAGACCAGACTAGGTTTGAATAGCAAATCTAAAAAGATGTTGCTGTGAAAAAAGTAAAAACTCAGTAAAAACTAATCCACATAAAAGGTGAATGAATATTTGGAGAATTTCACTTGCATTTTTAAAGTATCTGTTATCAGATGAAATGATTGAAGAAAGCAGTAAAAAGTACAGTTTTCCCCTGAAGTGTAGGGGAGAGATGTCTAATAGGAAAACTCAAATAAGTATCACTGGTGTTATAATATAAATATGATAAACTATAAATGTACAGAATAGAATTTCCCTAAAATGTTCAAGAAAACCACTTAAAGTAAATACACTTTTTCTAAATCTGGAAAAACGGTGTGAATATTGTATCGGAAATGGCAGCAATCTATATAAATAACTGCATCATCGGCAAACATACTGTATCTTTCAGATAACAGTTCATATCTCCAAAATGGTTATTGAACATGAATTTGACCAGAACATTTGTCATTCAGTCATGGGCTTTATCAAATTTGCAACAAGTGATAACATTGAATTCATCAAAAAACCTTAAAGTTGTGAGTGTTTGTGAAAAATGACACAGCAATCTCAAGCAGTGCCCATCTTTGAGTGTGAGATGGACCTGATTGCATTCAAACGTGTTCAAATCCTAAATGTGTTCACGTTCAATTGAACTGTAATTCAAATACAATATAACAGATAGGTATAAATCACAGTTACGCAGAACATGGAGGAAGCTTTATTATAGTAGTTTGCTCTATAATCCAACTAGAAATGTTTCAAAATGTCGATGTGTGTGTGTGTTTCTGCAAGTGTGTTGGTGTATGTGTGTAGGTGATCATGTAAATGCTGAGGTCAGTCATACAGTGTGTACTTTTCATAGGCGGAAACCTCAGCATTAACATGCATATTACATAATAATGTGGTGACTTCACTGACACAATAACCTCAATTGGCAATAATTCATTGATGTTCATGTTTGACAGCAAATAGTGTCAGATGACCTGGTGATATTTCATGAAAATATTTTAAACAGAAGGATCTATGAAATTCCCCAAAACGTCTATCAATACAAAAGTAAATGGTGGTGTCGATGTCATCTGTAGATTGCTGTGATAAGACTCAAGAACCAGGAAGATGATATTTACAGGGCTGCACATAACTGGTGCGCATGCGCACCTCCGCCAAAAAAAGAGCACCGGGTCATTTGAAACAAAGCGCATATGCGTACCAACATTGAGAGAGAGTGAGAGAAGAGAAAGAAGGGAAAAGAGAAAATAGAGGAGAGAGGAGAGAAGAGAGAGAGAGAAAGATATTTGCGAGTTGCATATGAACCATGATATGAACTCAGGGTCGGCCCGTAGCGCTGGCTAGATGTTCGCCTAGGGCGCCAGATCTGGGGAGTCGCTGCGCTGGCAGTTCTGGGAGGGAAGAAAACATTTTGACCGTTGGGGCTCATCCTAATTTTTGGCCTTGATGTAACAATATTCATAATTAAGTAAATGTAACACCCTTTTCACCACGGTTACACGTTTCATTTGCCCTGTACGATGGGCGCTGTAAGTGATGAAAATGGGGGATGTTGGCTTATCTGGCGCCCGCAGCTCACAGCCAAAGTGCGAGTGAGCGAGGGAGAGAGCACCGGTACCAGCGCTGTTGTTATTAGAATCTAGTGCCGTGCTAGCTGCTCTAACGGATATAAGAAGAAGATGTTTCTACAATGATGTGGAGGGAGAGTCCTCTCCAGTCAGACTGAGAGGCTGATACTACAGCTCAGTGAGGTAAAGGACTCTGAGTGTTTAGATAGTTCACTTTAGTCTAAGTTCAAACGGTTTGGTCACAATTTATGTAAACACATATTTCCAAGGCACTCCTTTATAATTATTGGGATAAACAGGTTTTAAATCATTCCAATGTATACTATAGGACAGTAACCAAACATATCCTTTAAAACGAGAGATAAAAAAAAAAATGCATAAATAAATAAATGTTAAGGTAAAATAAGATATGAATGAACAACACAAATAAAATAAGTTACATTCATTTGTTATTGGCTATGGTAGGTTATTGGTTATGTTCACATACTTATGTGATTACATCCACTTGTCTAAGATGACAACAGAGACTTTCGACCCAAACCCAGCTGTTGCTAATCGCAGACTCAACCAGAGAGAAAGTAGTAGGCCTACATCATCAGCTACCATGTCTGACAGAGAGGAAGACAGTGAGGAGAACAGTCAGGAGGGTAGTGATGACAGCTTGTAGGATTACTGGTCGTGCTAATGTTGTCTTGTATTCACCTCTGCATGTGTGTTCTGTGTTCACCTCTGCATGTGTGTTCTGTGTTCACCTCTGCATGTGTGTTCTGTGTTCACCTCTGCATGTGTGTTCTGTGTTCACCTCTGCATGTGTGTTCTGTGTTCACCTCTGCATGTGTGTTCAGTGCCGTGTGTCTGGCAAATAAAGTCAAGACCCCCTCAAAAGTTACGGTTTATTTCATTTTAAGGATGAGCACCAAGCAACATCTCCAGGTGCTCCTTTGAGAACCAGGGCAAAAAAGTTATGTGCACCCCTGGATATTTATATCCTCACGCTTGCAGCTAATCAGTGTGCAGTCTTTCTGGTAGTGAGGATTCTGCTGCTCTAAAGTTTAAACTAATGTAGTCAGATTCCTATAATGTGAACCGAAAGAAAATGAACACTGCGTATTTCCCAGACTCCTAAAAGTTGTTCATGCTCACCAACATGGCGATCACTTGTTAAACCAAAAAATCCTATTTTGGGGCAGTTTGAATTCATGTCAGCACAATTGAATCACTTATTTAAAGATGAAATGATGCTCTTGATACAATGAATACATAAAAGACGAAATAAAGCCTTCAAATGCAAGTTTGACGCCAACTAAGGTGTCATTAACTAAAGTGCTTTATTTCTTTCTTCTATGACTTTTTGGTACATATTTTACACTGTTTGATTCTGACATGCTCTGCTAATGGACTTATAGACTTAATGGTCTCCTGGGTATACGCATTTGTGTTTGTTTGTGCATGCACATAACCTTGAGAAAACAGCCGAATGAGACAAACGTGTGAATGAAAGGATGTGAGAGGACGGGAGTCGGGTGCGGAGGAGTTTGCACGGGGGAGACGCTTCTCTAGTTCTCTCTCAAATTCACCTAAAAAACATGCGGGAGCAGAGGAGGGGGAACGAGAGATGCACTTCTGGACTTTTTTTTTATCCGAGAAGTCTCTCTGTGTGTCTTCCGTCACTGAGAAAAGAAGTGACGACTGGCGGGGAGAAATCTACTGAATGGATGGGGGACGAATCAAACCACCAAATAGCATGAATCATTGTGAATCAGAAAACATGAAACAGGTTATTTTTGCACTAGCCGTGTCAAACACATAAAAGCAATCGATAGTCACTCCCGCTTGATAACCTTGTTACAAATCGACGATGTTTCATGCTAACGCTGAATGTGTTGGAAATGTTTCAACAGTTTGAGATTTTTGAATGTTCAAATGACATTGAGAGAAAGCACGACGGTTTATATGAAATACGGAGCACACAGAGGTGAACCTGCTGTCAAACTGTCCACAGGTGAAATAGATTATTTTATAAAGTTAGCATTTTCCTTTGAAGCATCTTGAAATAAGACGGAGATCTCAAAATGATGTGAACAACTTGAAAAAAGGTAATGAAGGTAAATAATGTCTAGCTGGATAGATGATGGAAAGCTGAATTTGTCTGAATCTGAATCGCACATTCACTGAAATGACGTTTGTGCAAAGCTTCGGAGCTTT